AGCACACAGGCCACAGAGTGCCAACAGAAGAGAGCCCATCATGTGACAGAGATGCCATCACTCGAATGGATACTGAGGCCCACTTGTGCCCTGTGACAGCAGGCCACTTTATGCAAAGGGAAACCAAAGATCAAACTTCAAACCCAATTCCTTGTGTTTGAAAGGTTTGACACACTCATAAGGAGAGAGAGTTTATCCTCCCATTGTGATGTCAGACACTGAGCAACACCCCACACATTCACTTCAGTCAGGAATGAATGCTGACCCTGACATCCTCTGTGTAGTGGAAGCATACAGCCAGGTGATCAAAGCAGGGCAAAGCACAGGATGATACACTGGAAAACCCCATGAGATTATTTGTATTAGTGTTTCCCAGTGTGGAGGAGAGGCTCTGCTGGAGAAGGGACTTCATTCTGCTGACACAAACTCACCCCAGACTTATCAACTCGCTGCTTCCTTGCCGGAACTCAAACCACCCAAAAAAATCACTTCAAAGCAACATCAAATAAAGAAACCAAGGCTCTTGCTGGCTGGACCTGGGCACTAGGGCAGTGCAACACTGAACCCCAGAGAACTCCGACAGTGCTTTCAGCTACTTCCTAACATAGTTTTAAGGGAAAATATTTTCAGAAGTGAAAGCACTGCAGAAAAGACTGGCTATTTGCCACCAGCTGCAACAGGGAATCTGTGTGGACTCCATCACTTCTCTGTGCACCTCACAGCAAGACTGAGATGTGCAGTATAGGTTCTTCCCGGACACGAAACTTCAGCTGTCAGCTGGTTGGTTACAATATTGCTTCAAGCCTTGTCCAGTCAGTCGTTTCTGAGAAAGCATCCATTCTTGTGTGGGTTTCCTGATCCTTTTGGATAATACACCCCAACACCCATTCTTTTTGGCTGTCCTTACACATCTTGTCCCACGCTGATGCCCATCTGATGTCTGGACTCAAAGCTGTTCCTTGCCAAAAGCTGAATGTCTTCTGCTGGGTACAACTGCTGGCTATTACCAATGAAGCAGCATATGGCCATCACTGCCATTTCACTGGCAAAAGCACCACCTCTTTTTGCAAGATTTTTCTGTGTATGTTGGGTATTCCTTTTGTTTCCAAGTAAATAATGCTTTTACCTGTAGGATCAAGACTAAAATGAAAATACTTGGTAACTCAGAGAGCACAGATGCAGCAAGATGATCTGGTGAGCTGGCTCCCACTGCTGCTTTATTAGAGGCACCTACACTTTTCCCGAGAGTGACTAAGTCACCTGCAGAGCCCTCTCTGATACGTTACTTGCAGTTAATTGCCTGAAAGCCAGACTAGGGTCTAGGGTACAGTTCCATAACTCAGTTAATTGATGGTGATTAAAATGGAATGATACTTGTCATAAGACCAAGTTCTTCACTAGATGGAAGATGACAATGCTCCCTGAATTTCTGGGGTTTCCTTACACAGCAAAGATACCTGTATGTTAATATTTGGAACAGTTATTTCTTTCTATTTGACATTTTGTCCATAATTTTTCTGAAGAGCAAAGTGGAAGAGCAATTCTTCAACTACGAAACACACTGGAAGCATTCGGGAGCTTTGAAAGTATGAATACCGTCCAAGTTGCTTTGAAGTCTTCAGGAGCCTGTGATCCAAGAATCTTTACAGAAGAACTGTGAAGCATCAGCACAATATATCTATGCTGACAGTTTCCGCCACATCATCAGCTAATTTTAAAACATGGTTAGGGGTTGTTTGCTGCCAGAACTCGTATGTACCTCACCTGCAATACTACAGCATCCAAACAATTTTAAAATCAGTTCAACTAAAGTGGTTTTAAATGAGTTAAGTATGCTAGGGAGATTCCTCAGCCCAGAGCAAGCCTTAGATCCTGTGTCAATGACTGAGAGGCAAAGACTGAAGCTGTGCACCCCGGGGGAGAACAGGGAGTTGTCCTGAGTCACTGCATTTGTAGAAAAGCAGCCTCTCCACAAGAGGTGGGAAGTATTAGCAAGATGAGCAAGGAAGAATTTTGCTACAACAAGCATGAGTCAGAGGCCTTGCTTTTGCCTTGATCTGTGATAATGGAGATGAAAACCTGTTTTTATTTGTATTCTTGTCTCTAGAGCAATTAGCCCAACATGTACTGGTAAAACTACCCAAGAGCTGGACTGAAAAAGAAATAAAAATTAAGCATCACTTGTGAGGGAAGATCTATGTATTGGGGAGAAAGGGGGGAAAAAAGCCTTCTAAATGTAAAGAGTTATGCTGTTCAGAGATTTAACGAGAAAATTGCATACACTCACATAGCAATTTAATTCGTAAATGAGGGATGGTAGGGTACGGGGCAGATTTATAAACCGTGTATTTGCCTCTGACAAAGACACCAGTCCTCTGGGGTTGAAAGAGCCGAAGATGACAGCTTAGTTGTCTTAAACCACAAACTCTCTAGTACCTTGACAGAAGATGAACAGACCTCTAGAAACTGATGTTCAGAGCCCCCCTGGGCACATAACCTGACTGCATTCATGTTCAAAGAGCTGCCTGAAACCCCCAGAACACTACCAGCCCACATAACTGCCAGTGTCAGAAGAGAGCACCTTTCCCAAACATGCTGCTTCTTCATCTCCAGCTGTTTACTCCACACTAGGAGCCTGAAGAAAGGAAATCATCCCTCAATGCTCTCTCTAAGTCAGGTGCCAAAGCTGCTCTGACCTTTACGACCTATATTTAGCTTATCTGAATAATAATAATACATTATGCACTCACTGAAGGTCAGACACTCTATATATGCAATATTGGGCTCACACCATGATGTAACTATTTTAACTATATTACATCTGTCTAGCTTTTATTGGGTTTTAATTAAATGAAATTAAATGAGTATATATTTAGATTGAGATAGTATAAACTGACATTCATGCAGATATGCCAGGCTGGCTGTAAGATACGATCTTAATGGAGCAGAGACTTTGCAAACTATTAAACCCTCCCGTATAATGAGGTATCTATTTAAATACTCTTTTCTTTGGAAAACAACTCTGCCCCACTATAGTATAGCGCTGGAGAGCTCAATTAACACCTTGCAGAACAGATCAGAGACTGCCCAACCCATCCCACTGCTCACAGAGGGTGACTGTAGTCAGTTAAGCGGGACTTGGGCTCTTCAAAGTGCAAGCCCTACTTTGTATCAACTACAAATATAAGAAAGAGCGAAAAATGCAAGCAGGAGTTAAATCTCTGCTCCATGAGATGTGGTAAACTTCTTGCTCCCCACTTGTGCCAGGGTGGAGAAAAGCCTTGGTGAATTCTGGCATCGTGTCACCGAGTCCCTGAAAATAAAACTTCACTCATATTTGGAAGTCTCTTGCACTGAACTGTGGAACCAACCCTTACTACAATAGAGAGCTAATCAATTTCTTTAGCGAGTCTGAGGATATGTGCTGCTCATTGATTTCTAAAAAGTTCCCTTGACACCTCCCTTGGTAATTACTGTGTCTTCAGCAAGCAGCCAGCTCTAGAGTCTGAATCCCAGGTGAAATATTCAATTGAGATGTTGCTCAGGAACAGCAAATAGGAAGCAAAACTTGGACAGAGTGATGGTTTACTAGTTTGTTTTTAAACTTTCTATCTCACCAAACTTGTGAAGCAGCTGGTAGAGAGGCAGCCAAGTGCCTGTGAAAAGGAGGCTGGAGAACGTACGGTGAGTGCATCAGGAACTGCCTTGCTGCTCATTTATGGTAATTTCTGATGCTGATTTAGTCAGCTATGAAGTGAAACACATCCATGTGCACTTTCCTATTGCTGCTTCCTAAAGCTTCTCAGAATAATTAACAAGTGTGATATTTTCTTTCAGCACAAACAGATCAAGATTAAACCATGTTGTGGGGGAGATAAGCTAAAGGTCACTGGGAAATTTCATAAGCTATAAATGCATTAGTATAATTAGCGCTCACTGGTACATCAAGGTGGGATCAGGAGTGTCAGCCTGGGTTCTATTTTTGATGAGAGTGATGTCTCATTACCCACTCCCCCAAGTACAAGCCTACTTCTTATCAACCAAGCATCATCAGATTTATGCAGAGGGCTCTTGCTATGGGGAAATGTGTCAAGACGTTCACCTTGCTAAGAGTAAGATGTTGTTACCCTGGCAGCAGCACTCATAACAAATGGATTTTGAGTGCCCAGAGATACACTGTGGCCAGGCAAGGCAGTCTGCCTTTTAGTGAAGTGTAAGACCCTTCTAGACCAAAGCTGTCCCATCTCTGTTCCCTTCTGTGCTTCAGGTAGGGTAACGTGGGCTTTTCCTCCTCAGACTAAAGCTGTTGTGTAGTGCTGCTGTGCATTGTTAAATAGTCACTATAATTCACGCTGGGGAGCTGCACTTCATCAGTGAATAAAGCAACATTTTATTTTCTTTAATTCTCTAATGAGCCTTACAGTCCTGGGAGACCGAACAGGGCATCAGAAAAACAAGAGCTCCTTGCTAAAATAAGTGCATACTTAGCCACCCACAAGAACTAAACATCCGTATTTCAAAAGCTAGTATTTGGCTTACGAAACAACAAAAAACCCTCAAAAAGAAACAGTATATTCTGTCTTGCAGAGTCTATGTAAGGAATGAACTACTATGAGATCTCCAACTGTAAAATCTCAACTAGTATCTCATTGTCCTGATTTGCACTGTTCCATAAAAAATACAAGACCTGTTGAGTTGGCAGTGAAAGGTCTGAGCCTACCAAGGATTTGGGGCAATGTCAAGACCGTCTACCGAAGAAGGAATCCAGGTGATGTTCCAAAAGGCACGTCCACTTGAATGTGTCCTTTTAACAAGCCACGATATCATGCCAGAGAGATCAGCTCCAAAAACTGTTCTTATATTGTAAAACAAATAAGCTCAAATCAAATTGACATTTGGGTTTACAATTGCATTTCAGGAAAAAAATAACAGCAGCAAGTAAGGAGAAGAGGGAGGAAGAGTGAGGAGGCAGTGCAGGCTTACTTGCTTTGCTACCTTACCCGAGCGGAGCTGTTTGATGCGCCCGTTGCTAGTTGCAGTGTCAACAGGCAGGAAGTCCTTGAACCAGGAGATTTCAGGGTCAGGGTTACCGCTGGCAGCACAGAGCATTGTGGCTGTGCGGGCCTTCTCCACCACCTTCAGCTGTGGGCCCATGTCAATGGTTGGGAAGCCAGCTGGGAGGTGGTCTTCTGCAAAAGGGAGAAACACACAAGGTTAAAGAGGAACGTTTGGGCGTAGCGGTGGGATACGGTTGTAGTGACAGCAGTGGCACAGTATAGCATCTGTGACTCTGCTGGAAAACAGCAGCCTGACTTCCCCACTGAGAAGGTTTTCAAGACCTTAAAGCACATTAGGCTCTATAATGAGCACTCATTATACCAATAGAAGCTTCCACTAAATTTAACTCCGTTTAAATCAATTGCCTTGGGAAACGTCCATAATTTTCATTGATACGTAAGTTGCATCTATTGTTGTTAATAATTCAGTAAAAGCAGGTATTTGCCTTTTTGTGGGAGGACTGAGTTGGAGATAACAGACAAACACAAAGCCAAATAGTCCGAGGCATCTTGAAAAACAACAGCTAAACAATAAAACCCCTCAGAATAGTCCAGAGAGGCCCATTTTCTCTTTTTTTTTTGGGGCTAGGAACATTCTGTCATACTGGTAGGATAGACAGTAAATCTCTTCCTCATGTCCCCAAATCTGATTCAGAAAGCTTTTAGAAACTAATGAACGTAAAGCTTAATGAGCCACACTCTGCTCATGAGCCACCTCGCCAGCCTGCGCCGTGGCAAGCTCCTGGTGCATTTTCTGGGCTGCAGAGAGCAACAGAGCTGTGCCAGAAATGGTCAGTGCACGCTCTGGCATGCCTTACCAAAATACTGTGAAACAGAGCACCCCCATAACTGCTCAAACCATTCATACAGCAGGTAGGAAGGCGGTTAACTGGGTTTGTGGCTGCAGAGCACGCTCAGGTAGGCTGGGTGGAATACATTAGGCAGCCTTCACTGATAAGCCAAGGCAAGCTCCAACACTGCCATTCACCAGCAGCTGCAGAACTGAGCTCACTTACTCATTCTGTGGCAAGATGTACTGTACTCTGCTTAGCCTGAACTGCAATCAAAAGGACACACTTTCACAGAAGAAAAGAACTTGAAGAACATTAAGAAGCTCTTAAAGCACCAGAAACTCGATTATTATTTTTAGTATGTTTCTTTTTTTCCCTGTTTTAAGGGAATTTAAGGCAAACCTCCTTCTTTGGCAAATCCAATTCTGTGAGACTCCTAGCTCACTGCAGTGTTTAAACAAACATCAGCATCTCCCCAAGTCCCAGAGGAATCTGAACTTGCTGCAGTCTGATTTTTCCTGCTATCACCACACATCTGGAACGATACCCTTCACTCCTGACAGGAAGGTACTAGCAATAGGCCACCTCAGGTGCTTCCTTCTACCTGTACTGCCACACCTGCAGCACAAACACAGCCCGTGGTGGTTAATCTTACATACTTCATCCTAAGATGTCAGGAGAATTCCCAAGACCCTTGACTTGTTGCAAATCAAGACTCCGTAGCACAAGGCAACATACGTTGCAAACAAAACAATACCCTGGAATATTGTTTTTCTGTTTAGATGAGAGTGACTGTGAAGCACCCAGGTTTTTCTATAGGAAAAAACCAATTCCTGATGCTTATTAAAAGCACAAACAATATTTTGTCTCCCAGACTAGCCTCTCCAGAAACCTCTCTCATCATGAGTAAACATAAATGGATTTTTTTTTTTTAATGAAAGGTAGTGTGAAAACTAGTTCTTTTTTAATTTGCTTTCCATTGATTTTCAAAGACAAAAGGTACATAGAGCTTAACTGGAATGACACCAGAGCTAGCATTCAGTAACAAGCAAGTGAAGCACTCAATACTGAGCAACCACAATGCATACTCCTACATGGCTGAGAAGAAACAAAAGAAGGGTACACATAGAAGTACAGCATGGTACAGACTGAAAAGCAAAGGAAGATATATAGGAAAAGCACTGAACATTCCCTTGAATTGAGGCCAAGTTTGCCTAAAGTGCAGCACCTTGCTGTTTATGGTATTGAAAGCACACGCTTACTCTGAGGAGGCTGAAACCCTGAAGTGATCTAATCTAATCACCATGATTACCGTTGACAATCTTTTCTAGTTGTTCAAGATTTTAGAAAGAATGCACTGAGTTAGGTATCACCCAGTTACCTTTGCCCAAAGTCTGTGAGGAGGCTTAGCACATAGCTAAAAGCAAATCTGAAACCAGCAGTTGTGCAAGAAATCTCTTCCCATCTGCAAGGATCCTTTGCCCACAAACCCAAGAAGTATCAGAAGATCCTTCACAGTGTCTGATCCACAGGTACATGACCAGCCTGCTGCACTGGAGGTGACTGTTCAGTCAAAATTAGCAGCTTGTGATGAACCACAGACCAGGAGAAATTTTATGATCTAACCTTGACTTCACTGAGTACAACAGAGAGATGCTGATTACGAAGACCCAGCAGCAAATCTACCTCTGCCATACTAGAAATCTTAGATCAAGCTTTTTCTGGACTCCACAGAGATGCAGAGCACTGCTCCCACTATCACGCACCTCCTGCAAGCCCAAGCCATTACAGATCCCAGATGGGAATGCTGATGAGAATGCTGAGCAGTCAATACCAGGACAGAGGACACAGGTGACCACCACGTGATGACTCTCATCCCCCAGACCCTGTGCCGAGCTGGACACAGAGAGGGACAGGAAGGCATGCAAGGCTCCTGGGCGACACACGCACAGTATGGCCCAGTTTCCACGCATACCTGGAGATCGAAACCTGCCTGCTATGGCCACGCCACCATCGAAATCCCAGCAAGCAGTGCTGGCACACCTGCATCTACAATAACGTACAGGCAGCAAGGACTTGTTTGATCCCTTGTCAGTCAAATGTAGAGGTAACACTGGTGTTTGAGAGCAGCAGTGTGCTTCCAGGAGGCTGCAGTCTCATGTCATGTGGCATGACAAGATGCAGGGGAAATGTGACAGCCTGTCTCTGATGGTACCTCGAAAACCTGGAGGCTGGAGTTCATCTGCTATTAGTTCTGGGGTACCTCCAGGGGACCTGCACTGGGCTCAAGGGGAAGATGAGCACCATTTCCAGAAGTGATCCAATGGCCACAGGTGCCTCCCACCATCATGAAATGGGGGACCTCTACTACTGCAGGTCCTTCTCTGGTAATGTGTGGCTCTGGCAGCTCCCCTGAACCCTCCTGGAGAAAAGTAGCTGTGGAGAGAACCTGAGCTGGCCACATAACAGATCACATCTCGGCACAGGCCCACACCTGCCCTGTCAGCAATGCTCCTGTAGAGATAATGGGGCGTCATTCCCGCACGGCTTGGCGTTGCTGACTTCACTGGGACAGCGAGGGGTGTCTCTGTGTTCAAACACTACAGGCGACGATAGGAGTTCAGAGCTGTTCTTGCCTTGCCTTCGCCTGCAGCAAAAGCCTAATCTAGGTCTAATTATGAGGCTCCGTCATGCCTTGGCTCCTTTCAGCCCCTGCTAGCTGTACTAACTTGTCTGCACACAGAATACTCAGTAATAACTATCCTCCTATTCATGCCAATGTGTGGATACCCTTATTCTAGAAAATGAGTTTGTCAGCACTTGGTTTTATTCAAGGATAGCTAGTGTGCTTTTAATACACAGTAAAACAGGCTATGAATCTCCTTTAAAGTGCAGACTATCTAAACCAGTTCTTCTTCCTGGGTTTCAGACACTTTCAGAAGGGCTGTATCTCAGGTAGGCATTAGGTAAAAGCATGCAAAATCTAGGCACAAGCAGGAGTTTTTTTGGCATCGTGAGCTCAAATTCCCTCTGTGGATAACAGCAGCAGAAGCAAGGATGACAGGAGAGAGGGAAGAGAAGAAAGAAGCAGAAGGAAAAGTGAAGGAAAGCAGTGAGAGTGAAAAAATAGATGAGTGGGTTTTGCAATTACAACTGAAACTCAGAAAATCCATGACCAGGCTGAGGTCTTGCTAGCAGCAGTCATCAAGGAGCCAGGAATGTCCCTCTGGCATCTAGCATGACAGCATGTGCAGAGGATGTCTCATGCTCACTTGACAGCTCCTTTTGCTAATCTCCTTTCTAAGGTGACAGAAATCTAACCCCCCTTCTCTTACAGCTCTTTTGTGCCACACATCTCGCATCTTTAAGGAAAAACCTAAGGTAAGAAACCTTTCCCACAGCCCAAAACCACAGCTGAGACCTCCTTCAGAGCAGCTGCAATTATGTAGCTCATTCACTAGCTCCTCAGAAAAACACCTTTCTTGAGGATGCTGCCGTGAGATGCATACCCCTTGGAGCGTCCTTATTTTCTGCATCACTCCAAATATCAAGTGATGATAAGGGACAGAGAGGCAATTGCAATTCATGTCTTATGAGAAGTACGGATCAGCCCCAGCATGGAACGGTACGTGGATAACAGCTGCTTACAGAAAAGGCCTGCAGAGAAGTCTGTGGTGAGCACAGCTGTTGATGGCTGAATTCTGCAGGATTACCCCCAGGATTTTGTTCAAAACTTGTAATCTCTCATAGAACAGAAAAGTTGAGAGGGGTGGGATATCAGGTTCCTGCTAGTGCAAACTCTGTAGAGCACTCACTGGTCTTGCAGCCATACAACTGTGTTTTGGGGGTCATATCATGACACCACTTGTAAAACCTTCCCCCTACCACTGTGAATTTCCTCTGCATCAATGTAGGAAATGGTATTTTAGAAATAATAGTGCAAACTGTAAACACGTTTATGGGAGTTATTTGTCATATTCCTCTTCCTATAAAAGCAAGTCCTGCTTAGTATCATGAGCCCAATTGTTCAGACTGCTGAGGGAGAGAAAAAAATTATACCCAATATAATTTTGAAACAGCAAAAAGTAGCTTTTCTGTGTGTTACAGCTATAGCTGTGAGGTTAAATCTCTTACAATCTATCAAAACCACTGCCCCACTGGAAGGGGTGTTCTCAGCTCATTTCAAGTGACATATTTGGCCTTATCCCCGCAAAGGGTTGGAAACAGCTTATCTGGCCACTGGCTCCTGCCAGCCTGCGTCAGCTGAGGAACTTCCAGCCCAACATCAATTTTAGGGGCTCGGTAGGGATGATTAAAACACAAAGCTCCTTTGTTTTCAAT